CTCTCTCTTAGTCCCGCGCTGTCTCCTGTACCCTCCCTCTCTCTCTCTCTCTCTCCCTCTCTCGCTACCAGTCTCTCCTTCCCTGCCCCTCTCTTTTCTCTTTTCCGCTGTGATTCTTCTATTCTTTCTCTCCACACCCCCTCTATTTCTCTCGCTCGCTATCCGCGGTCGCTGTCTTTCGCCTCGATAACGCATCTTGCGCTGTCTGCTCTTTCGGCTTTGTCGCCATGGCGACGATGTGACAAGTGAGCAGCGTTCGTTTTTCGATTTGCGGTGGTGCTGATGAGTTTGCACTCGAAAAAGCTCGTTATTGTTTTCGAGCGCTCGCGATTTCTATCTCGCAAATTAACCGGGAGAAATGTCGATTCGGTTGCGGTGCTTAACGCGAGGGATCGGTGGTGCGCACGGGCACGCACGCACCCACGCACACACACACACACACGCACGCACACACACACACACACACACACACACACACACACATATATATATATAAGACACAATCGCATGCGCTAACGCGTGCAGGTAGGTAGGGTATAAGATAACACGAGCAGCACACACCTACCTGTCCGTCATCTCTACTCCGTCACGGACACGTCACGCGAACCGCAATTATACACCGACGGACTGCCCGCCCGACGAAATATACCTCCATACACTCTGTGAAAAGTTAGAAGAACCTGACGAAGAATACCACAAGTCGAAACTAGTCGTTCATTGCTAACTTTGTGTAGCAATTTCTTAAACGAAACTTTTTTCATATACATATTATATATAATGGCAACACCAAAACAGCAAGCTAAATCCACGTGGGGCAACTCAGTAGAAATCCCTCCATGTTGTTACTACGGTCACGGCGATCCTGAGTTTGTGAGCTTTTGATTTTCTTCGAGTCTGAAACACAATGCGGTCTTTGTTATGTGCGTATCGGAACGTATCGGTGTCCGTGCGGCAGAAATTGATTCCAGCATTAGGCAATAGCATCGTTGGTATTTCGGGATGATGAGTGGTGAGGCATACCAGTGAAAATATTAAATCAAGCTAGAGTACATAATAGTACATACATCTCTATACATGTACTCTTTATTAAATCTTACTCTGAGTTACTAAGGATTTGTTGTTATAGCTCCAGGGTCGTAAGAGTAATTTGTTCCACAAATAGTAATTTGTTACTACGGCGAAATAAGAAGGGTTTAAATTTTTTCACCAGAAGTCTCTCTCCCTCTCTCTCTCTCTCTCTCTCTCTCTCTCTCTCTCTCTCTCTCTCTCTCTCTCTCTCTCTCTCTCTGTCCCTTTCTCTCCCTCTTTCCACCTCTCTCTCACGTGCTCTCCGTATTTCTCTCACCCTACCGCTCTCTTCATCCATCTATATATGTAACTTTCTATGACTTCCCCTTCCTATCTGCCGACGCGACTCTCTCAACCTTCTCTCGCGCTCGCTGTTTCTAAGACGGTCGGCCATTTTGGCATTTCATTCTCTCGGGGAACGTTTCAGTCAACAAAGAGTTGCTTGAGACTTCGGGCGTATCTGTCCCGCGCGCTTTGTCCGCTCTGCGTCTTTGTTGATCTTAAAGCAGCGAGAAAACCAGTTTTGCGGTGGATAGTACGCCATTAAGTGCGCTAGCTATGGGCCGTCGCTTGTTATCTGTCCGCCCATCGCTGCACGCCACGGCAGCGCGTACACTCACACACGCACGCGCGGACGCACGTATGCACGCGCGCATGCACACGTATACAAGCACGCACATACACGCGCACGCACGCACGCACACGCACACGCACGCACACACCTTGTCCCTGGAGTCATAGATATCTACTTGATATCTACTATATATACACGCCGGGAGTAGCATTCACACACAAAGTGTATAGACGTACACCACTGGCGTCGGCCACACTTTTCAATGAGAGACGCCTATTATATCTCCCACTCGATTGCCACGCATAAGCCCCCCCCCCTTCACGGAGTTACAAGGTGATAGTAGTTCATTTCGGACATTTACGTAGTAAGTCCACGTGATGAGATTTTCAGGTAATGATTAGACACGTAAAACGTATAGTGTAGCACTGTGCCTTCACTCTTTTCAACCATTATACTCTTTCCCCCGTAATAATAAATTCCAACCGCCATCGTCACCATCGCCATCGTCACCATCGTCGCCGTCGCCATCGTCATCGTCGTCGCCATCGTCGGCTCCTGATGACGTGTTAACGACCGCGTACCGACGGCCACGTCACGCAACATTTCGTGACGTCATACCGTCTGCAGCGGATGGCGGCAGTAACGGCGGAGTGTAAAAAATTAGCTAGTTAGATTTTGCGGGCCTAATGAAAGGGCTGATACGCCGTAGGTTTCGCCGCCCCGCCGCTGGGGGGCGCATTAAATCGCTCAGTTTGCGTGTCGCATTCGAATGGCGCTGCTGGCTGGACCGACGGTCGCAGCGTGAGTCCCCACCGTGCACCAACCCCGCGCCTTTTCACGGCGTATGCGTTAGAAAGTCTTATAGAACGGTCGATGAAAAAGTGGTCTGGATACGTAGTGAGTAAGGAACAGCAATGACTACTACTAACAACTACTACTACTAATAATACTAATCATAAAAACTACGATTAAGTGTGCTAACACTGCGGCTCGCTGCCTAGGATGTTGTGTCAGGTGTTCGAGGTGGGATGGGAGGGGGAGGTGTGTAAAACTTTTTTATTCGTCTACGGTGTGAGGCGGGAGTGAATTTTCCGGCCGTTTACAGCTGCACTGAAATGGAACTAATAGCAGCAAGTAGGGATCTCTCTCTCTCTCTCTCTCTCCTCGTCTCTTCTCCTCTCCTCTGCTTTCTGCTCGCCTCGATCCCTCTCTCTGCTCTCTCTCTCTCTCTCCTCTCTCTCCTCTCCTCGATTTCTCCCTTCTTCCACTCTCTCTCTCTTCGCTCATCTTCAATCGCGCTCCTCGCTCACTGTTGTCGCTCTCCTCTCTTCCCCACCCTTCCGTCTCCTCTCTCTCACCATACCTCCTCGCGCTCCCTCTCCTATCTCTCTCTACCACCATTTCCCTCGCATTCTCATCTCTCTCCTGTCTCTCTGTCCATTCCTCCTGTCTCCTCTCCTTATCTCTCTTTCTCTCTGTTCTATCTCTGCTGAGCGCATCTTCGTCTGCTGCTCTTTGCTCTTAAATCTTCTCTATTCTCTCTCACTCTTCTTCCTCGGATCCTCGTTCTCATCTCTCTCATCTCTCCCCTCTCTCCTGTTCCTGCT